ACGTCACATAAAGAGTACATTCCATTTTGGACAATGTCACTTCTTCCCTCGCTCTCTGTTTCTCTCCCATCCCCACCCAGGAGTTGTATAGTTCATTTTCAACATAGCATCCAGTGAGTACCAAATCTTCTATATAATCACATTTGTCTTCCAGATTCTGTAATAAATGTGAAATGATAATTGTATTAAAATAATTATTTATAGAAATACTAGGCATTCTGGCTTTATGTTTTCCATTGTCTCTACTCTATTTCATTTTAAAGGTCAATGTATTTCTGGGTCAGAGTAGATAACTACCTTTTCATATCACAGAGTATTCATATCACAGAAGAACCAACATTCATCTCTCTCTCTCTCTCTCTCTCTCTCTCTCTCACACACACACACACACACACACACACACACAGCCCAGGCTGTTCTCAAACTCAGTAAGTAGCCCAGGTTGATTCTACATTATCTTCCCAAGTGTTGGGATTAAAAGTATGTGCTGTCATGACTGGCTCGTGTCTGATTTTAAAGCCTATGATTTCTTCTGCTAGAGACTGAAACATAGACATAATGCATGTAAGGTATTATCTGTTTTCAGCTGTCTTGTTGATTTCTATAGAGCATGTATTCAATATTTAGAAATACATAATAGTTTTGTAGTAATTAGGGTGGATTATTTCAGCTCAGGAAAACTTGGTTCAACTGAGACATGATAAATTATACAAGACTCTAGGCATTCATACACAGTGAGCCCAAAAGGGGATATTCTTAGGAGAGGAGCACAAAGGCTCAATGCCTTTATGCATCTGATCATATAGTATAATACTTGAAATAAATCCCAGGAAATGGAAACAAGAGGGGTTTTTTCCCCTTCTTTGATGCTATTTTTGTTTTCTTTTCTTTTTGTCTTTTTTGTTCATTTATCTTTATTTGGAGGGCCAAATGGTGGCACAGAAATGGAGGGACAAAGGGTAAACAAATGCATGTGTTACTCACTAGACACTGAGTTGAAAATGAATTGTGTAACTTGTGGGTAGCATCCAGGCGCTGGTGACTCACGCCTATAATCCTAGCTACTCAGGAGGCTGAGATCTGAGGATTGCCGTTCAAAGCCAGCCTGGACAGGAAAGTCCATGAGATTCTTTTTTTTTTTAATAAGTTTTTTTTATTGTGAAAATACTGTACAGAGAGCTTACAGTTACATGAGCAAGGTAATGAGTACATTTCTCTCTCTCTTTTTTTTTTTTTTCCAGGGCTGAGGACTGAACCCAGGGCCTTGCGTCCCGGGTGGGCGCCCTTCCGCTGGGCTAAACCCCCAGCCCCAATGAGTACATTTCTTATCAAGCATTGTTGCCTCCTCCTTTGTTTCCCCTACTACCCCTTTTCTTCTACTTCCACAACTACATTCCCCCCTTCTTTTGTTCCCCCCTTCCCTCCCCCACTCCCCTGCCCCTCCACCCCCACCTAAATTGTAATGTTCATTTTCAACTGTGTCTTGTATATCTCATTGTTACAACCTGTATCCCTATTTAAACATTTTTTTCCCCTTCCCCTCCCCAAATTATACTGACATCAAATACAGTGAAAACAGGGGTTATAGAGTCAGGGAGGAACATACAAAGCAACAAAAAAAAATCACATGGTACATTATAATTACATTAGAAACAATAGCAAGAAAGAAAAAACCACTTGTGTCCCTATCTTGGGGTTCATTTCCCATGAGACTCTTATCTCCAATAAACCACCAGAAAACGGGAAGTGGTGCTGTGGCTCAAGTGGTAGAGCACTGGCCTTGAGCTGAAGAGCTCAAGGGACAGAGGAAGAGCTGAGGGACAGAGACCAGGCCCAGAGTCTAAGCCTCACAACTGACAAAACAACAACAACAACAAAAACTTGTGGATGGATAGGGGGAAAAATGGCAAAGTGAGTTAAAGGGGGATATTATCCAAAAAGAAATGTACTCTTTATCTGACTTACATAGCTGTAACTTTGTACATCACCTTTATAATAACAAAAACATTTTTAAAAATTGCCTTATGAGGATTAAGCATTTATTATTCCTGTTTTACAGACTTGAAAACTGAGAGTCTAATATAACTTATCTAAAATTACATAGTGAACAAGTAGTAGAATAGGCTCAAAACCTATTTGTTTGACTCCAAAGCCTGACTTCTAAACTTCTAAGCTACAGTTCCATAGGTATCTTCAAATGAAAATTGTGGTAAAGAACAAAAGTTTAACTGGTCAGTGCCACCATTATCTTTAATTAGATGGGTCAATGACATTTTGTGATTTGGGGGTCATAAGAAGGGTCAATTTAAAAAGCTTGTTACTGCTAGGCCCTGGTGGCTCATACCTGTCATCCTAGCTACTCAGGAGGCTGAGAATGAGGATTGTGGTTTAAAGCCAGCCCGGGCAGGAAAGTCAAGTCAATCACCTCCAACTTTTTTTTTCTCATTTTATTTTCCCTATAGCTCTTTCACTTACTGATATCATAAATTATTTGTCTGCTTTTCATAAACGCACCTAACTAGAACATAGTTCAATAAAATTAAGAATCTTGTCTTTCTTGCTCAATGCTGTACTTCTAGTGTCTCAAGTTGTGCCCAACACACAAATATTTGTAGGATGGATAAATAAATGACTGACCTGCGTTGGACTTAAATGACAAAAATTTCAACTTAAAAATTGTGCTTAGATTGGCTTACACTCAGATTAAAAATGGGCAGCGTGGAGAAATGTGAGAAAGAACATATAAACTTGACATAACGAGTCCATAATTATGGGACTGAGTAATGAAACTAAAGAAATTAAGAGCCTTATGGCCACCAAGCACCTAAAATTGTCAAGGCTTTCTGGAATGGGGTAGAAGCCATTATGAAGGCTAAATTCTCTATTTTCTCCGTCACCGTAAAAGTTTATGGAAAGAAGATAATGGCTTAATTCAGTAACTATCTTGCATTGTGCATAGCTTTGATTAGAATGAAGTAGGCTTGAGGCTCCCATTGAAATTAGACAGTACCAAGCTTATGTTTAGTACCCTTCGTCTTGAAAAGCCATTATTGATAACATAAAATACTTATAAGTGGGAGCTGGGAAGGTGGCTCAGTGGTATAGTGCTTGCCTTGCATGCATGAAGCCGTAGGTTCAATTCCTCAGCACTATATAAGCAGAAAAAGGCATAAGTGGCACCGTGGCTCAAGTGGTAGAGTACTAGCCTTGAGCTAAAGCTGAAGGACAATGCCCAGGCCCTGAGTTCAAACCCCAGGACTAGCAAAAACAAAACAAAACAAAAAAATACAACAAAAAAACACAACTTGTTAGCTTCAGCTCTGTATTAGTCATCTGTGTGTTGTTATGAAGAAATATCTGAAGGAATCAAAGAAAGAATGATTTGTTTGGGCTCATGGTTTAAGAGGTTTAGTCTATCCATCACCCCTTAGATCTCTTGTTTTGGGCCTTCGTGAAGCTGAACAGCATTGCTAGGAGTTCAAGGTTGAGTCAACTTGCTTACCTCAATTTAGTTCCCAAGCAGAAAGCAGGAGGAGGAGGTGGGGAGAGCACCTACAAAGGAGTAGGGACAAAATAAAGCATTGAATGCATGTCCCCAGAGATCAATTTCCTCCAGTAGGCCCAACTGCCTATATTTGGGACTACCAATAGTCCATTCTTCTACCAACCCATTGATGGATTAATGATAAGGTTAGAGCCCTCATCATCCAGTTACTTCTGAACACTGCTGCATTAGGGTCCAAGTCTTGAAAACATGAGACTTCAGGAGACATTTCAAACTACTTTCCAAAACCAAACAGTCAGACAAACAAAAAACAGAGTAGCCCCACTGTTTTACATTTTTGCAAAGCTCTTTAATATCTGGTTTTACAACAGAGGGCCAGAGTCTCCTGTCTGCTTCGAGTTTCATGTCCCTATCACATGACATGTAGTTTCTGGAAAATTCATTGTACTCTTGTGAGCCAAGGATATTGCTGTAGAAATAGTCTGGCCTTCCCTGCAAAAGTGTCTGGAGCTACTCCATCTATACTTTGAGAATAACTGTTTTAAGAATTAATAGGAAGCCCTAGGTAGGCTTATGAGTTCAAGGTCAGCCTGGTGAGATCCTGTCTCAAAATAAAAAGTTAATATTTGTTTTTTTTATAAGTCAATATGAGATGATCTAGCATCAGTTGAAAAAACAGCCACGAAGTTTCACAAGTCTGAAGTTTAATGAAGGATTCATTTTTCTCAGAAGGCTGAAACAACCTATACTGGGTGCCTTCTTATAAAGTATCCCAAGAGTACATAAAACATGCTATTTTCACCCATTAAATGAGCTAATGCAGAAACGAGGGGCTGCACATTAGTTAAAAGGATGTGCAGGTAGGCTGTGGAGCAACCCTTTAAAGGGTGAAGTGATGTGCAGAGCAATACGAAAGACGTGGAGACCCTCTGGGACTTGCAGAAAATGCTCGGGTGGAGGAATGTGTGTGTGTGTGTGTGTGTGTAGGAATTAGAGATGGGAATCCAGAAGGGCTCAAGGTCAAGGATCTGATAACCCTGCATGCAGTCCACTGCCTTGCAGCCTCAGCCCTGGCTTGCTTAACCAAGAGGGCGCAAAGCAGGCTGGGCCCAGACCCTCATGCATCATCTCTGGGCCACAAAGGATGGGATTAAGATTTTTTTCCAGCTCAGCGGCAGAAAAGAGACGGCGGGGTGTCGTGTGTGTGTGTGTGTGTGTGTGTGTGTGTGTGTGTGTGGCGGGGGGGGGGGGGGAAGCGGACAGACACTGGCGGGAAGCCGAGGCGCCACAGCTCTGCACTGAGGGGGGGGGGCGGGGGAGAACCCACCCGAGACTATGGAGGTCGCCGGGGAAGAAGGACGGTTCTGTTGCTAGGCAACTGGGCCCGGGCCCGCCTCCCGCTCGCGTTGCTAGGAGACGCCGGGGCGGAGGGGGGGCGGTGGAGCGGGCCTTACGTGCTGACGCTAATTGTATATGAGCGCGAGCGGCGGGCTCTCGGGTCTTTTTTAGCGCCATCTGCTCGCGGCGCCGCCTCCTGCTCCTCCTCGCCGCCGCTGCCGCCCCTGAGTCACTGTCTGCGCAGCTCCGGCCGCCTGGCTCCCCGCACTCGCCGCCGGTAACGGATGGAGGCCCGGGAGGGAAGGGCGGCCGGCGGGGCCCGGGCGGCCTGTGCGGCGCCGGGGGCGGCGGGAGGATGGGGGAACGGAGAGCCGGGGCCGCGGCTGCCCGGGGCCTCCCCGTGAGGCCGGCCGCGTCTCCACCTCGCCGCCTCCCGGGGCCCGCGCCAGCCGCCGACGGGTTTCTTTCCCCGTCTTTTCTCCCTTTTTTCCCTCAGGAACGTCCGCGGGGGTGCGGGGTGGGCGGCCCGAGGGCGGGGAGGGCTGAGGCTCTCGGGGTCCCACCGGCTTCTCCGCGCGGGCGGGAGCGAGGGCGCTGCGGCGGCTCGGGGGAGCCGGCGGCGCCGCAGGGAGGCTCGGGCGGGAGCGGGAATGCGGGCCGGGCGGGGGTGCGGGCCGGGCGGGGGTGCGGGCCGGGCGGGGGGTGCGGGCCGGGCGGGGGTGCGGGCCGGGTGGGGGTGCGGGCCGGGCTCCTCCCGGTGGGCCCCCCCCCGCCCTTCCCCACCCTTCCGTCCCCTCACCCCCGACCTCGCCTTCGGGGTGACTCCCGGGGAGGGAGGCCGCGGGATGGGGGGGGTGGAAAGGGGCGCGGAGACTGCGAATTCCGACGGGAAGGAGGGGCCGCGCAGGGCCGCGGACCCGGGCGGGGAGGGGGCGCGGAGGCCGCGCGGCTTCGCCTCTGCCCCCTGCCGGCGGCGGGGAGCCCCGGGCCGCGGCCCTCCACGTGGTGACGGGCGCCGGGGCCTCGCCGGGCGCCCGGGGGGTCGAGGCGGTGGCGGGGTGGTGAGCGATCCGCCGGTTCCCCGGCGTGTCAGACTCGCCTCGGCTTCCCCTAAGTGTTTTTGTGTCGGAGGAAAATACTGAATGTCACCTCGGCTGGGGTTTTCAAGAACTCAACGAGAAGCGCTTTTCTTTTTGGGGCGTCGGGGGGGGGGCTGTGTTTAAGAAAAGGTTTCGTGTAACCCAGGTACAGTCAGAGTGGCATACCCCCCCCCCCCTTGGAGAGGACTGCTCCTAATAGATGAAAAACAACCTCCAGAACAGTTCTACGATGAAATTAAAAGGCTTTGTCCAGTAATCGTTTTGATTCTTTTAGGCGAACAAATTCGTTGCTTGATTGAAGTTCTAGGATGAAGTACTGAGTTGTATCAGTGTTGGAAAGGTTTTCTTGGTGGTGGGGGGGGGGGAGAGGTGAGCTGGTAGGAAGTTTGAGGGGGGACTAAGGGTTAATAATGTACCCTGGAGTTTGGTCGGTATGCCCTACTTCCCAGAAAAATCTCTAGTAAAGGGAGGAAGGAGGAGAGACCCAGGTCCTCCCGTGAAGGGCTGGACTTCGAGTAAACAGAAGGGATGGTGCATTTGACACAGGTTGTCCTCAAGGCGTCCTTATTTTAGACAATCATAGTTTAAGGAGTTCTGAAAAGACTGCACTTTAAAAAACAATCTCACAAGGGGCCTCTTGCCTGGGTTCAAGAAATCTGAGACAAAATTTGCTATTTCTGAAAGGAGATGCCATCAGAACATCTTTGGAAGATAATCAGTAGTGTTGAGCTTGTGACTCAAGTAGTAAGAGTACATTTCTGGCATGTGCTATGGCTTGATTGAATCACCATTACTGCCAGCTCCCTCCACCCCCCCAACTCATATCCATGCCCTGTTTTCTTGTCTCTGTAATATTTAATCCTTATATTACTTAGAAAGTACATGGACCACGGTTTTGGGTAAAATGGTAGAGCTGGTAGAGCACCTGCCTAGCACAAGGCCCCCACAACTCAAATCCCAGTATAGCCAAAAAAAACAAAACGAGAGTAATAAGCCTTATCTTGTATTGGATAAGGGAAACGTCTGTATAGATTAATATTTTAAAATGGACAAGGTTTTTAGTGATTGTGTCTCAAGCTTGTTTGAAGTTATTGGCATTGAAGAAAACCTTGTCATTTGGAGGATGGAATAAGGCATTAGTAGTTGCCTTAGATATTTTGTCATTAGTCAACATTTGGGGTTGTGTGTGTGTGTGTGTGTGTGTGTGTGTGTGTGTGTGTGCGCGCGCGCGCGTGCGCGCGCGCGCCAGTCCTGGGGCTTGAACTCAGGGCTGGGTGCTGAACTGAGATTTTTTTGCTCAAGGCAAAAAAAATGATCTTTTGAGGTGTGACTGTACTTTTGGCTTTTTGGCTTCCATTCTCCCATCTAGGCCCAGTGAGTAGCTTAAGATTAGGCTTGGTCTACCCAGTGGCCAGCATTTTCACGTACACAGGATGACAGGTGCCTGCCACTGCAATTAGCCTTTTATTGGTCTGGAGAACTTTTTGCTCAGGCTGGACTTGAGACACAAGCCTCCCAATTTCAGCCTCCATGGTAGTAGTTAGGATTACAAGAGCTTAGCCACCATAACAGCTGTAAATTTGTGGTCATTAATTACAGACTCAAATCTACTACTGAATGTGGCTCATGATTGCTCCTGTACTTTCAAAACACTAACAGCAGAGCTAATGTAATCTGAAATTCAGTTTGAAGTTTATTCAGCTTGCTCACACTGGCTTCAAGTGACCGATTTGATTCTAAATTCTCCGAAAAATCCATTCAAATTGTGTGTGTGTGTGTGTGTGTGTGTGTGTGTGTGTGTGTGTGACAGGTCTGAAAATGTCCACCTAAGATGTTTTGGTTACTTAGTTACTTAGTTCACATTTTACTTGGTTATGAATTGAATGTAATGTAAGGATTAGAGAACAAATCTCCTTTGTAATAAAGAAATCCTGGTGATCATTCTGTTCAGAACATAAATTTTAGTCAAACCTGTGGTTTTGTTCTTGGCTAACATGTATTTTTTATCATGAACAAACACTTTGCTTGCCTAGATATAAAATGTTGTGATGGGTGCTATGACGAAAGAAGGAATTAGGGTTAAGGGAGTATTTAGAGTAGTATTTACAACATACTTTACAGAAAAGGACCTTGATATTAGGTCTCATTTCAAACTAGTTTCATCTGAATATAAAGCTCTTTCCTTGTAGGCAGAGTGCTGCCAGAAGGTGAGAATCTGGTTGCTTTACACCTGTTCTTCTTTGGGTGCTTATTATATTGACAACAGATTATTAAGGTGTATAAGTGGACTTGTTAGAGAATTTGGCCTCTACTTGCTTAAAATTTTTCAGAAATGTACTTTCTGAATTTTTACTGTGAAAGAGGCCTATAGAAGTTATTTTCTAAAGTACAGTACAGTGGGAAATAAGTTAACAGCAGGGTTAATGTTTTAAATTCCTTGACATGTATTATTACATGATTTAATTCTTTTAGATTGGTAGTACTAACATTTCAGCAAGGAAAATGAAGTATATTGTGGCTACAACATCTGAGTTGTATATGAGTGAGTGAGTGATGGTGACTTGGAATGACATTTTTGTAGTTTAAAAAAAATATCCCTTCCAAACTTGGATTTTGAATGTATTCTAATTTTGGGGTTCCACTTTGCTCTAGGGAAAAGCTACAGTATTCTGTATTCATAAGATCTTGTTTCAACATGAAATTTCTTTATAGTTGGTTAATAGCGTCTCAGCTTTATACTTAACCATATACACACATGTGTATTTGTGTGCTGTGTGTGCCATGTAACCGTTGAACACTTGATCAGTTTTTGTCAACCACTGTGGCCTGTGTATGTATTCTATTTCCTTAGATGGTATTGTGGATATTGAGATCCTTTGTACTGAAGATAGTGTTCTGAAATAGTACTCAGTTTTGCTTGGGAGTAATGCAAAGCTGCTTTAAACTTGATTATTGATATCACTGAAATAAAAGTGAGTGGAAAATATTTAAGCTGTAAGGTTGTGTTGGAGTCAAACATGAGCCTGGAAACAAGGAAAATGTTTTAAAAGAGCAACCATGTCTGAAACACTGAGTTGTTTATACAGTCCATTTGGAATGGGATGAGGTTTTAGGTAAAGGAGAGTTTATGTCTTTGGCATTACTAGTTTCCTCTTTTGCTTTAAATAATTTGCATTTTATTAACGATTACCTGTTTCCTAGTGAAGTAGTCATTTTTCTTATAAAACAATGGCTAGTTAGTGTATGATCAGTAATTGGGAAGAACCTTGGTTTTTGAAATAGACTGGACAGTTTTAGAAGTAAGCTTTGAAATACTAGTTTTAGGCTTGCTTTGCAAAATTAGGTGCTTAGTATTTTATCTGAAAATAAAGAGGTAAGTTTGTAATCCTTTGCAGAGTAGACTCCAGAAACCATTTTATTTGTAGTATGGAGAATTTACTGATTTAACCATTGTGATAAGAAGTTAATTGATAGCAGAATCTGCACATATAGCTACTGAACATCTTGAGCACAAACATTTTTTTTTGTAGACTCATTATGAAAGAAGTTTCATGTTTTCAGATTATGATTTATCCTTAGGAGTGTTGTTAGGAATGAGTTGTCTTCCTATTGTGACTTTCTACATATTATATTTGAGGTTGAAGTTAGACTTTTTCTAGAGTAAAGAACTTTTACTGCTGTAAACTTTTTCCTCCTCAGTATATTGTATTTTTAGTTTGAAACTGTATCCCTATTCAAGATCTTTTTCTTTGTTATATTTTTGGTGGTGGTAGGTTTGAACTCAGCCTTGTACTTTTGAAGCCAATGCTCTACTACTTAAGCCACACCTCTAGTCTATTTAGTTTTACATTTGATGTAATTGGCTTGAAGATAGTGCTGAATAATTTTTGTTGTTTTATTCCTGGGGCCTGGACATTGTCTCTGTGCTTTTTCCCTGAAGGCTAGGGTGATTAATTGGAGATGAGAGTCTCAGGCTTTTCTGCTCAGGCTGGCTTCTTGATCTGAGATCCTCAGATCTCAGCCTCCTGAGTAGCTAGGATTATAGGCATGATTCACTGATGCCCAGCAAAGTCTGATTATTTTTGCACTTTTGATTTATTATTTCTAATTGTTTGAGGGTCATCCTAGAGATTATAATGTGCATCCTTAATATTAGACACTTACATATACTTCCTCC